CAAATACTGGGTAGAATAATAATACGGTCGTTTTATTCTGTTTTTCTGGATGAAAATTATTAAATTGAAATACCAATATATACTGATTTCTACACGGACTTAACACCAGCCATCTCTTTTGTTTGCACTCACCCTGCAGCCAGGTGGAGTCGTACTGCTCGGTGCGGATGACGTGACGTCTGCCGAGACTACGGAAGAAGGCGGAGTCTCTGCTCATGAAGTCTGAGGTGATCCCAGCATACAGCTCTCCATCTTCACAGAGGAACAACAGGTTGAAGTATTTTCGGTGAAAACAGTGTTTTCAACAATCTGAACTGTAATTCAACATGTTCTCACAGCGGTTCATAAGATTAGACCTTATTGGTCCCTGGGGGATGTTCCCACATTACAGCAGCGCAGAGATCAGATAGAGAGGTAAGAGAAACAATACAGAATTATCTGAATGAAATAAATAGAGATAAAATTAGGAGGATTAAAAAGCTATATGGAATATTATTAAACAGCATTATTAAAGAGAATTGTGCAAATATTTGTGTAAAACAAAAATCTAATAATGTAACTGCAACAGTGTGTTGTGCTGTATATGTGTGTACTACTATAATACAGCAGTGTAGGTATAATATATAGTGTTATATATGTTACTTCCACTCATGCTACACTTATACTAATATGTCCATGTATAATAATAAAAATAGATGATAAATAAATAAAGGAGGACAAAGAACAGGTTCATGCTAAAATACCTGATAGTAACTTTTCATATGAGTCACGGCCACAGACAAACTCTCTGCCTCAAACTCATTTAGAAATTTCCTATGAAATATCATATGAATTTATGTTTATTTATAAATCTTCCCAAAGCAGCCATACTACAAAATAAATGTAAAGATAAATAATAAATATGTGAATCATGTTCAGCTGCCGCACCATGATGTTGTGAGATAAAAAAAGATCCAATCTTCTGAATATTAACAGTCAGCAGTTGCTGCAACAACAAACCCACATTTTGTTTTGTTGTTTGTTTGATTGAATGGCTGATTACACACATTCAGATGATTCTTCTCTGCCTACACGTCGGCTGTTTCTCAGGAGAAACTGCAGCACGAGGTCGTCCACACCTACATAAAACCTCACAGACGTGTTGTAGCTGTTCCTGTGATGACGTCACCTGACAGGAGGGCGACTTACCAACAACGGTGGAGGCCGTTTTCTGGAACGGGTCGTAGGGACATTTCCCCTTCCCACACTCTGTCTGGCTGTAGGACAGAGTCTGATGCTCGGACTGGAGGAGGAACAGGAACAGAGGAGAGAATCAGCTGGACATCAGGAGGAAGACAAACTGTGACGCTTTAATTATTTAAATTCTTTTATTCATCCGCTGATTCTGGCGCGCACACACACACACACACACACACACACACACACACACACACACACACACACACACAGAGTCACTAATTCAAGGTAATCAGGCTAAGTGGAGGGATTTTAAAATGTGTGAAGTCCAGTCTTAAACCAGTCAGCACCACCAGCTCCTCTAAGCACCACGTCTGATCTCACACGGCCTTTCATGGGATTAACACACACACACGCACGCACACACACACACGCACGCATGTGCGCACACACACACACACACACACACAGTGCTGAAAGGCATGCAACCTCAAAAACCACAATTGCAGGAATGCACATACCCGCACACACATAAAATCCCACACTCACGCAACTGGCACAGAGTTAAACCTCTCACACACACACACACACACACACACACACACACATATATACACACACACACACTGAGGAGCCTTAGAGTCATTAACCTATTTCTGACAGACTGATAACCCACATGTGTCTAAATGATGAGAAATCTAACTGTGTCGTATGAAGGAGACACAGATTTACATTCACATTATATCTGACATAAAAATGTCAAATAAAAAATCGACAGTGCCCCCCCCCCCCCAATGACAAAAGGTACATTGTGTATAATATAGACAGATGGCACAGGGTGAACTGTGGTGGATATATGGGCATAGGGGCAGACACCACACATATGATGTTTTAGCTGCTCACAGGTCTGTGGATGGGGGCTGCAGCTTCGAATCAGAACACACACACACACACACACACACACACACACACACACACACACACACAGGACGGTGGGTGGTAGGAGCAGCAGCGTGATCTGCAGTCAACTTTTTACTGTTATTTCATTATTTCACTGATTGTATGATCACACGTCTGGAAAAGGCTTGACATTAGCTTGCAAGCTAGTTAGCTAAAGAGCTGCAGCTGTCTGGAGAAATCCTGCTGCACTAGTGTTACAGCTGAAGGTGCAGTAGACGAGATGAAAAACATTATGCATCAGAAATATTCTTCAATTTTACATTACAATATGAATCAATATAAGAAATATGAAAAATCTGACACATCACCACATGTGACGTACTCACATAACTATAGATTATATATATTATATTCTAGATATAGATTAGTTCAGGCTTTGGGGGTGTGGTTCCACTTTACCAGCAAATCTAACTTTTCCTTTCACTCTGCTGCTTGTTTATTCTCCGCTGACAGAGTGTGTCAACGTAAAGAAACACAACGACGTTACTTTGGTTCAGTGATTCTCCTCCAAGCGCTGCGACAGAGGGAGAACTTTTACCTCATGAAGCAGCTGAGGAAAACCATTACTTGTGTGTTTGTGTGTGTGTGTGTTTGCAGTCGTACCCGTTGGAAGACGGCGGTAGCTATGAAAGCGCAGCGGGGGTTGAAGGCCCCGGTGCCACACACGTACAGGTGAGTCTGATTAAACGGCTGCAGAACTCGCAGGAAGTTGGCGCACTCCAGCTGGACAGAGACAGAAACACAACGTGAGAAACAATCGCACAGTTCCTTCAAAGAATACAAATATTTTTCTCTCACTGCGTGCGGTCACAAAGGAGACAATTATGAACGACTGGATTCCCTCAAACACAGCAACGCAGAGAGAACGGATCAACACTGTCAGACTACAGAATAAATAACACTGAACACTGAATATTATTTGAGTTATAACAAACTTTGGGCTGATATTGTTTCAGAGTTACATTGGTTTAATATCAGTATCATGTAACGTTCATTTTGTTTTTTCTGTTTCTATTTTGTGAGTTAATAAATAAATAATTCTAAAATAAAATAAATAAATTGTTTAAATAAAGAGGCAATAATTGTCAAAAATAAAAAGATTTAATGGATGTCTAGTATTCTGTATCACATGTAAGGTAGTGTTTATTTTATATTCACCAAGTAACAATATTAAAAAAGTAATAATAAAGAATCAGGTTGAATTTGATCAAAATAACATCGTTAAAAGTTAAAATTAACAAAGTTAAAGTTAAACTTTCTGCCAGAGACAAGAAACTCTGCAGCTACACTTCAGTTAATCACTCTGCACTTTAATGACATATTATCTATTTTATAATCTGTTTTTATACAGTTTTCTTCTTCTTCTTCTTCTTATGTTTTTTACCTCTATTTTTATTCTTCTTTTATTTTCTGTCGAGCGCACAGAATGACCTCTTTGTGATAATGTGCTGTACTTATAAATTTTCCTCGCCTACACTAAAATTGAAACCATGACGGGTGTCTCCGTGCGTCTGTCCAATGAGCATCACCTGTTCCTCTTTTCCTCCCTGTCCAACTCGACGTGTCGTTCTGTTGTCTGACCTGAATCTTGATTTCCTCACCAGCATCATCCATTTGTTTATTGTTCCAAAACGAATCTGATTCATGCGGCTTTACTTCCGCTCCAGATTGTAATCTATCATGCGACCGTCTTGCTTTATTGTTGCTGAGCTCCTGGAGTGTGGTAGTATAAAGGAAAGCTGATATGACCTGACCCATGAGCCACTGATCAATATCTGTGTGAATACACTTCCTTCCACCGATTACCTCCATTCATTCACACAGTACTTACTGCGGTTCATAGTGCTTTGCCTATGTAATCTGCTGTTTGGGTGTGTGTGTGTGTGTGTGTGTGTGTGTGTGTGTGCGTGCGTGCGCATGTCTTGAATCACCTCTGGATCTTTCCCAGCCATGAGACATTCCTGGACCCGGTCCGGACTGGCCGGCCAGAACAGCTGCAGAGAGCGAGCGAGATAAAGAGAAAAAAGAGGGAGAGAAAGAGATTATAAAACTGTTTTTCATTGTTCACCCCGAATTTCCGATAAAAAGGCTTTTGGCTCTGGCAGGTGCTTTACGACAAATAAACAACAAAAGTGACTAATGTGGAAGGAAGAGGAGGAGAGGGGGATTTTAATGCCTCTTGTTTAGTGTCAGAAAAGAGAAAATAAAAACCAAATGGAGAAGCCGAGCCAAGCTGTCAGAGCAGCAGCTTCATGAATAACCAATCCACCCTTTGATTTCTAAAGAAATCAGAGGATTTACTTGTTGAAATAGCACACTCCTAATGTAAACCATAATTATAACATTGTTTCTTTTGTATATACGTATATAGTTGTTTGTGTGATTACACGAGTTCCAGCTGTGCCAATAGTTTTGTTACAGCAGTGAATTATGTCATTTGACTGTGGTGCTGAAGCGTCCGTGAAGAGTCCAGAATGTGACAGAGATCCGACCCGAGACGAAAGGATATATTTAACTTTTCATTTCCTTATTTTAATCTGTAGTTTAGCAGATGACGAACTGAACCGAGCGCCGACTGTGTCCCGATGCAGAGGCTGCATTTCAAGACCCACAGCGGCGAGACTGGTCCGTCACATTTCAGTCGCTCCTTCAGATGCATTATGGGCAACGAAGGATCCAACAGGTGGATCTTTCCTGGTCCATCATATCCCAAGATGCATTGCATGCTAGTATTGTTTTTTCAGCAAAACAGAAAGTTTTTAAAAGTTACGTGTTGTCAAGGTTGCTATGCGACAGGAGCCATGCTTTGCACAGCTGGTTATGCACAGCAAGAATCCTCCGTAGACCAGACCGTCTCATTTCGGTTTGGCCTTCATCCTCTGAAGGATGCAGCAGACATCTAATTATCTAATCTAACTACAAAGCAAGAATCTCTTTCTCTGTGTGTGTGTGATATTCACTAAGTAAAGAAACAACATTTTGATTTTGGGACGGTTTACATTCACTTCGGGACGGCGGTGAAAGAAGTTAGTCTGGAGCTTGGATGCCATTTAATCCTAGAGCGCGCCATATTTGTGGATCCAGCCCATAGGTTCCTGCTTCTCTAACGTCAGATTTTCTTGTACATTAAGTTTTTATTGGACTAGACAGGAACTAAGAAGAATCATATTTTGTCCACATGATGTTAAAGAGCAGCACTCGAGCTTGGAAGCAGAAACGTGGGATGATTTGTTTTGGAGAGACAGTTTGCCCACACAGAAGCCTCCATACATGACTCATGTCTTTATGCTGACATCAGCCAACCCACAGTTCATTCCAGTCTATATGTTCTTTCTTTTACATTGAATGTGGGTTCAACAGTTAGATTAATGACACCGTTCCAAACCTCTGCGGTGCAGGAAAAAGAGACGAGCAACGAGACCCATCAGATGTTGTTCCAGCTGTGGCTCGGGGGCAGATATGAAGAGGTTAACAGAGTCAAGTCTTTAGTGAAGGCCTGAGACCGATTAGAGGCAGAACTTCACCCTGAGCCACGTGTTGGTCCACATGTTTTAAACCCTCTGAATCACTGCGTCTGAGTAAGATCCACAGGTTGTTTCAGAATCTGCTCCTCTGTGCTTTGGGCCTGTGTCGGTTCAGGAACGGTTGGTTCCTCAAACGGATGAGTTCATCCTGGGTTCAGGTGAGATAATGATCCGTAAAAATCAGAATCTAATCAGAAAACGGTTGACTTCACCGGTGGACTAGTTTCTCAGAAAGAGACTAATAGCTTATTGGAACTAATGTAATTACGATTCTCACATTTGTTGCACTAATCATGACAAATTGCAACAAATTGATTGCGTGGATGTAAATTTAATTAGAGTTTAATAAAAAGCCAGTAGAGGAGGAAATAATAGAAGCACAGAAAACGAGAGAGAGAGAGAGAGAGAGAGAGAGAGAGAGAGAGAGAGAGAGAGGTGAGGCTCAGTGTCAGATGGCAGCTACATGACTAATCTAAATATTTCCCTGAGTCAGTCATTCCCTCAGAGACCTCGGTGGTGAAGCAGAGATTGAATCGATGTGATAAGTGATTGTCCTCTCTTATCTCTACATACCACAGAAACTGAAAAGTTTACTGAGGAAATTGCAGGAGTGTTGCTTTTGTTTCAGTTCACACGACTCTGAACTGAAAGGTGACAAAATTACAGCCGAATAAAAACTTGTTAATCGTTAATGGTGAGAGAAATAAGACGCGTGATCTGTGCGTGGAAAAGCTGCAGCTCTTCAGTGTAGAAACTGTGACACCAGCAGCTCTTTGAATGTGATTAATAACAAATGATGGTGTGTTCAGGAAACAATTTCTGGACGCCCAGTAATTGCTCCCTCATGTAGTCATTCCTGCAGAGCCGAGACCATCAGATTAGATAAGGGACCACGTTCCCCCCCTTATCTCTAAATACCAACTGACAGGAGCGTGGACCACCAATAGAGGATTCTCACCAGGTAAAGACTTCTGTTAATGGAAACCCCCCCCCCCCCCGTGAAGAGCATGCCGGTCGTCAGTTTATACAACACGTAAGGAGCATGTGGGTTTATGCAGAAAGAGACTGATATAAATCAAATGACAAAAGAAATCTGTTAAAAATGTTAAATTTCTCTGTTCAGTCTTTAACTCAAACACAAAGTTCCTGAAGGTGTTGGAGCCTTTCCCAGAACATTTTCAAAATCTTCAAATTAAGGACGAATTTCCGCTTTTTTCTTCTGTCTGTCGTTTCTTCAGTTGTTTTTTGTCAGTAATGCAGCTTGTAGAAGTTCATCAGCTCCTAAACCTCCTCTGATATTGGTTTACTTCCTCTCTCTTTCTTTTCTAAATGCAAAGCCTCTCTGTAATACTCCAGGGAAGAAGTACCTTTTTATAAAAGTACCCAACCCTACACTACACGAACATGCATTCTGCCCATTTGTTAAAAATCCAATAAACAGAGTTGTACGTGCTTTGACAGTGAACACCAGTGAGTAAAACAATGGATGGAAACAATGACTGAGTAACAAACCCACAACAAAAACACACTCTGAGGCCCTCGGTGACCCTCTGTGTGATGTGGGTTTCCAGACGCAGACTCACTCAGAGGGAATGTCTTGGCGGCTTTTGCCCCGATCAAAGAAAAAATGTGACTGAACTGTGACGGACTGCAGGAGCTAAACTATGTGTTAGGTCTGAAGGTGTGAGACAAAGAAATGAATTAAAGCTGCGAGCAGCGTTATGCGGGACTTGACACCGCCAACATGCATTACGTTCCTGTGTATCAAGCGTGAACCAGACCGTCAATATGTCACGTAAATCAAATGATGATGGTCACTCAAGGGTTACTTCCTGTTTCCAGTAGGTGGCGCTGTGAGTATGACGCTATATCAGCACGCAGATGTCTTCAGTGTCGGACTGTCATCGAGCGTGTGAAGTTTAGGGCAGATTGGACAATGTATATTAAGAAGTTAAAGCAACTTCCTGTTTTTTGGCGCCATATCCACGCCGTTCAACAGAAAGTCACAGTTTTCACATTGAGGCATCATCGAGGTGTTAAGCATATTCTGACCGAGTTTGAAGCGGGTGATGTCAACATTCAACATTTGTCCACACCCGTGTGCAGGACCCATAAAACATGTAAATTCTCACCAGGCCTGCGTTTCACAGTTTCATGAGTTTTCAAGCTCAATGTTCAGACTCTCAAAAAGGCGATTCATTTTCATGGAGGAGAAAAGAGAAAAGTAATAAATAAATAAATAAATATCAATATAAAATAATAAACACGACAATTTCCCTCAGAGCTCGGGTCCAGATAAAAGTCGGCATCGCTTGGTGTCGAGCAGCTCCGATAAGAAGCTGTGGACGTCAGAGAGAATAAACAGGAACGGGGAGAATGTGGCAGCGAGAGCGGTTTTAACACCACGGGGGGAAAGCGCTGGACCGGTATAAACAGACTATAAATACTGTAAGTACAAATATATAACTTTACAGCCCGCACAGAGCTGAGTTATGAGTTGACTATGACTATCTCTCCTTGTGTTGGCCGCCTGCCCGGCTGAGTGGGTGGCTGGCCGGCTTGACTGCTGCCTGTCTGTCTGTTTCTCACCTGTTTGGCTCTAATAGCTGGCGTGTACGTCTGACTGATGAGGGTATTGATTTGATCCGGCAGGACAGAGTTATGAAAAGGCAGCACTGTCGCTGTCCTTCCTCTGACCCTGAACTCACCCTGACTGGCTGACGAGCCGTCATCGTGTCTGTCTGGCTGCGAGTTAAAGCTGCAGCGACACACTGGATACTGAAAAAAGAGAAACCTCCAAAAGCCAGTCAATGTGTTTCTTATCATTTTGAAAAAGCAGATTGGTGTAAACTGATTTCTGTGGAAGCGAATTGCATTCACAGAATTAAAAAAAAAATAGACACCCGATCTTGTAATATTGAAAAAGCTGGTAAGGGGCCTATAAATCTGTTTTTCTGTTTTAAATCAAAACGAGAAAACGAGGCGTTTCCCATGAACACGGAACATCAAGTGGAACAAAGTGTGAAGTGTTTTTTGGCTTAGTGTAATTTCCATTGTTCGTTTTTTTCCTTGTGAAATAAAGACCGCAGGTGACTGACATCATGAGAGGGTGAACAGGAAGGAATGGAATCAAACCGTCAAAATAAAAGTGAGAACTTTCCTGCCACTAGAACGAGGCACTTTGCAGATGAACTGGTTGCCCGTAGGTTCAGATCAAGTTAAACTTAGTGTGATTTATAGTGATATTATTTTAGTTGAGCAGGATATATTATGAATTAATATTGTGGAAACTGGATTGTGGATTTCCATTTTTCTTTGTTATTCCTGTGCATCTGAGCGTTGTTGTTTCCTGCTGCAGATCTCGGTTCAGGCTCTTCTGAGTTTTCATTTTGTTTACACGGATGTCAGACGTGTTTTGTCGCACCACCAGTGCAGACGGTCGTTGCACGGCCCGGCCTCATTAGGATGAGTGACAAGTGGGCGGGAACATGACCAGCTGAATTGAGAAAGGCCAGAGCCGACAGTCTGCTTCCTGCCTCAAAGCATCCTTTAAAGCATCGTAGCGTTAAACTTCACATTATTGATGCCATGTGAAACTCCTGGTCCTTAAAATGTTGATATAAAAACCACATGATTGATCTGCTGAATCAGAAAGATATATAAACATAGTATTGTATTTCCAGGCTGCACACAGGTAGATGTGTTTCCTGATGATATAAAAGTGTGGAGGTAATCTGCTCCTGCCTTTATTCATAACCTGATCCAGACTTCAGCCGCTCCTCTCTAACAGAGCAGCGGCTCTCCAGCACCAATACTTCTTCTGTTTGGCAGTGAACACGGACAGTGGTCGAAGTAGGAATGTGAGTAATGTGCAGAAAATAATTTGTGGTTTGACTGGAGGCTAACACGTCGCTATCTGTTTGTCTGTTTACAAGCTTGTTAGGCTTTTCATATCTCTCTGAATATCAGTGGATAAAATAAATAATACAGGATGATCAAACCAAAACAATGCTACTGCTTTATCTGCAAGGCTAGCAGCAAAGACAGCTCTGTGGGAACAAGGTGTGAAGACCGTGGAAGAAGCAGCAAGTTAAATCACTGTGTTTCTGTCCATGTGTTGATTAAAGGAGAGTTGATGAAGGTAGGATGTGTTTCTGTAATGAGGGTAAGGAATTACAGAAAGATAGTGACGGTGATCAGGGGGGATATTAGTCAAGGGGTGTGTCTTTCCTCTTCCTCATATCACTGGTAATTAGTCCAATTAAAGCCCTGTCACATCACATATCTGAATCTACTGTCATTGGCCTGTGTGTATTTCATGGCCATCTCCATGCATGCATCAGTGTCTGTGTCTGTATCAGATGGTATGTAAGTGTGTGTGTGTGTGTGTCCTCCATGTCTAACCTTGCGTGGGTTCTGTGTTATGTCGTCCAGACTCGTAGATAGCAGGTTGTCTTTCATGGCCACATACAGACGCCTCCCGTCCTCGTCGGGCAGCAGCGAGTGCAGATCTCCCGCCACTAGGGGCAGCGTCAGCAGGCGGCCGTTCTGGATCAGCTCTGACAAAGGAGGGGAAGAAAGACACGTGCACTGAGTTTCATTTGCAATTTGCAGTAGAGAGAGACAGGAAATGGGGAGGCAGAGAGAGGGGGAATGACATGCAGCGAAGAGCTTGTCCGATGTGGGACTCGAACCGAGGCCGACTGCAGCAAGACTGCAGTCTGCAGTGATTAGCTCAACCAACTGAGCTAATCAACGCCCCTGAGCAAATGTAGAGGTTTAATGTTCCCAATGGGCTTTTTGTTTTAACCACAGACATGAGTATAAGGATCAACGCTGAATACCATCTGTGACCATCTGTTCATTTAATAATCTAATAATAATAATTTAATAATCTAATAAATGGTCAGCGTCTGAGGCCGGAAGTGAAGTAAATTATCTTATGACCAGACAAACAAACAAACAGTCAGATAAACTGACATATTGGACAAAGACACAAACTTTCCCACACCTGCGGTATCTATCATCTCTTATCGCACTGGACACTCAGGTCAAACTAAATAATCTGCAATGTATCTTTTGTGGATAAACAAACACAGACACTCACACTTAAACACAGACACAGTGTACCTGAACTACATCTCCAGACAGATCGTTTGATAACGAGCGGTTCTGAAAGCACAGATAACGAGCAGCGTGGATGAAATGTTTTTTAAATGATTACACTCATTCACCGTGTAAACTATGAAAACTATGGTGCGGGAGATGGGCCGATAGCTGCGCCGAGGACATGAGCTGCACGTCCGTCTGTCTTGTGTTAACTTTCGTATTTTAACTGCCAAGTGTTTCTTCAGTGGATTGGACTTGGCTCCGGCTCACAAAGCTAAAAGCATAAACATAACATATAGGCTTTAAAGCAGCAGCAGGCAGAGCTTCACACATTGGCAGCTCCAAATAGCAGTGAGAGGCAGAAAGAGCTTATAAAAACTGTTTCAACGTCAAAACCCATAAAATCTGGCCCATAATGTTCATGAACTGCACACAGTGTGCTGATGATAAGCAACCTGGCCATGCTACAATGCTTTACACCAAATGATACCAAAGGGACAAGAGGCAGACGAGGAAACTTTCCTGGTATAAAGCGTATAAACCACACAGCTACTAATTTACATAAATCGCTGCCCAGTGAAGCTTTAACACACAACACAGCTTCACTCAGGGAGAGATTCAGAGAAGAGATGCATGATTTATCATTTTGCACTGTGGCACAAAAACTCAGCCAACTCTTATTAAAGTGAAGCACTTGTAGTTTTGGTCTGAGCAGTCTTCTTCCTCTGCAGTGATGGATGAGCACCTCTCAAACGCACATCGTGTCTCTTCATGCAGCCGAATCTGAACTGACACTCAGATCTGAACGTGTTTCATGCAGAATATGATCTAATATTCCTCACAGGAGCACGAGGGTGTGAAACTTCTAGCTCGACTTAACTGAATCACACTAAAAGCGGTTCATGCTGACTCAAATCCTTCTGAGAAATTCACTATTTCTTGATCAAGGTCAAACCAATGTAAACCTGCGATAGAAAACCGACTAATATGTTCTTTTGTTTGTTCAGACAGAGCAGCTGACGAATCTGTCTCCATCAGATTTCAATGGGATCTGATAACATCAAAACCTGTTGAACTTCTTCTGGAAAGATTTATTTGTCACTGACTGTTTGTTTTAGAAGAGTGTTTCTGAAACTTTTTCAGACCAAGGACTTGACCACTAAAATAAAAACCACAAACATCTCCAAAAACTTGTGTGTGAACAGATATAAAACAAATATAAACGAAATCACAATATGGCCAAGTACAATATCCCAATCACAGGAGTTTTTTTTGATGAAGGTAAAATGTGTCACATTGTTGAGCATTGTTAGCATTAGCATTGTTAGCACCATCAGTGTTGTGTTGCTACAGAGACGCCCCGACCTACAGATCATATTCTCCAGACGTAAAGGAACATGATTGGATGATGGAGATCACATCATCATCATTTTTATATTTGTTTCAGTGAAAATGAAAATGCAAAACTTATAATTCCAATCAAAATCGAAATATCTGCCAAAATAATCGCAACATGATTTTTTTTGCCTGTTGTGTCGGAGGTTTCATTCGATTTGATGAGTTCATGATCTTGTCCATCGTCCGTGTTTGATAGTTAACAGGCTGATAACTGGTTGAGTTTAGCTCAGTCCCAGAGCAGCTAACTGTTAGCTTCATCCACATTTCCTTTTCAAACATCACGCTGATCATTTCTGATGTAAATCATAAAACATAAACTGAACTGTCGAAGCCACGTGAGCAGACAGCGTCACAAAACGGTCACTGCAAACCAGCCAATTCATATAACAATGTTTGAATTTACAAGTTGATTTAATATTGAAAACTACAAACACATTTACAGACAGTTCGAGGAACACTGAGTTTAAAACATATTTCATAAATTCACTCGCAAATCTGTAACCAGTGAACATTACCACACCACCACATTTACACTGCAAAACAACTCAAAAAGCACAAATCTATCCTTCCATTTGTTTGATGACACATCTCTGTCGCTGCCCATTATTCTTTAAATTTCGCCCAGACGGCCGTCCCTGAAGAACACACAGCAATCATCCAAACTGCAGCAGACGTGATGAATGACTGAAAACCTTCAACACCCGGCTGTATCTGTTCTTTATATGCTGTACATCATCTCAGTTGGCATTTGGGTTTAATAGAAAGGAGGGGAAAAAAAAGGGACATGCGTCACAAAGAATGAGGAAGAGACGAGGAGATTTATAGATGAATGAAATGTGTTGAGGAAGAGCGGGAAAACAAAGAGATCCTGACAGACGTGAAGAGAAGTGGGACACTGATGAGATGCCTGCGATCGATCCGCACGACTGAAAAAGAAATGAGACGAGATCACTGAGAAAGAGATGAAATGATGACGGGCTGGATATAAAATGCAAAGACAGATGAAGAGATGGAAAGCGACAGACGGGGGGGGCATAATCACCCCGAGTATATCTGCAGCAGTTAGCTCAAATTAATGCTTGTTTGTTCAGGTAGGAAATAAAAACTCCGACCTGCTGAAAAAGCAACTTTCTGTTCTCCTCTGACATAACTCTATATTCAGACTATCTATTATTCTATCTACTCAAACTGCAGCAAACATCCAAGTACCAAGTTCTGGAGATGGATGTTGATGTCTGACAGTTCCCAACAGCAGCACACTGTTCAAACCTGCAGTACATGGAAGAGTTAATGAAGCTGTAATGGCCCGAAGAATCTGTCGCCAAGAAAACTCCTTACTGTGTTGACGTGACAGGGAAAAACACAATTTGTAAGATGTCAAATAAATCAGATCTTGAAATCAAATCTCATGGATGAACTAAAATTAAAACCAGGTTCTCTCTGAGTGTGAGCAAAGGATGCTGGGAAGTAACTGCTCTGCTCACTGTATCCAGTTATTATACGGTCAGACCAACCAATCACATATAAATAGATAGATAGATACATACTTTATTTATTCCCTAGGGGAAATTCATGATAAATAAAAATAAACTAATTATCTGAACGTGGCTGGATGAAGCGAGACGATCTGTTGGGGCGTCGCCTAGAGCCAGGTCCGAGTCCACAGAAGTCTGTGACAGTTTCTGTTTCCCGGGTCTCTTCATCTCTGACACTCGGGAGCGGCAGGTGCTGCTCGCTCACGCCATTTCGGCTCCACACAATTGCACAAATATAGATTTTCTCGCTCTAGTAACTTAAGATGCCGGTGAACAGTGAGCCCCCGAGCTTCAGACATCTCCTCAGATGTCTTGGTTAAACTAATTTACAGAAACCTGAACAACCTGTCTCGACATATCTAACACGGCGTGCTGACAGGTTCCCACAACTCTGCCCAATTAACAGGCTCCATGCTGTGAGCCCACGTGACTCCTGCTTACAGTTCCTGGTCGGACTGTAATTATGTGATCACAACATGAGCAAATATTACAAAACTACTTTTGATTACACAAAAAAAAAAAATAGGAATTTGTTGAATTTAATCATAGTATTGCATCGCTGCATGTTTTCACAACATTCAGCATTTTTCACTGCGCTCATAACAAGGAGAGAGGCCGAGGAAAATAACAACGTCTAAAACAGAGAGAGGAGGAGGAGGAGGCGGAGCGGCAGGGAGATAAAATGAGAAAAATGACACAGCGAAGTGACAACAAGATGAAAACAGTCTGATGGGTGAAGACAGTTACGAGATGAGAATGGGAAAAATGTCAAAACATGACGTGATGATAGACAGGTGAGGAGGGGAAGGGGGAAGGGGGGGTGGGTTGAAAGAAATCCTGATGAAAGAAATTAATAAATATTGATGGATGATGATGAGGGTGAGCGGGAAGAAACAGAATGGGACACGACAGGTGGGGATTGGGCAGGAAAGGTCGATAAGGGTAGAAGGGAGGGGGGGGGTGATGATGGGCATATGGGTGGATTGAGCAGGAAGTGGAACCAACTGAGAAAGGAGGATGAGTGGCCGAGAGCATGAGGGAAAATTGTGGTGTAATAACAGAGTGAAAAACGATGGATAGGTGACTGGGGGGGGGGGCTGACATGAGAAGGAGAGAGAGAGAGAGAGAGAGAGAGAGGGAAAATGATCTGATGGCAGGGTGAAAAATGATGATTGGGTGGATGACGGGCGAGGGAAAGAGCAGAGAAGACAGAACGACTGTGGGAGAAGAGAGTGACGGAGAGAGGAGAGTAAAATGAGACGCGAAAAATGCTGTGAAATCAGGTTGAAGAAGAAGAAGAAGAAGAGGAAGAGGAGGAGGAGGAGGAGAGGGAAGAAAGACCGATGCTGGAGACAGAAATGAGAGGAACCACAGCACGCTGACAGTCAGGCGAAGGCACCAGAGATGGATGAGCAGAAGGGAAATGAGGGGAGAAAAAGAGTGAGGGAGACGTGACTCAATGGAAAAGGAGAGGTAACCTGAGACAGAGAAACACTCACAGCAGGAGAGTAAAGTTC